TAGCCATCCTTGTAAACCTAAAAGGTTTACGTGTGTCTATGTCAATCAACATTCTCCCCTCCTCAAGCTCCAGTGTATCAACACGACCTAGTGTGTTCCCAATACCTTCCAGATTCTTTATGGTCCATAAGTGCAATGGCACTCCAGTTATGGTAACCCAAAAGGGGATAATCCACGGGTAATCATCGTGCACGATCGGTTCCCAACGCACTAACACAAACATACAGAAGTTATAGTGAAAAGGGCCTTGGCTTAAGACCGCCTTGAGATCCTCCTCAGTGGTAAAATTTAGCAAAAATTTTCCATTGCCTAAATCATTCGCTGTGATACGGTCTTCCATTCCCCATTTTCCTGGCATATAGTTGATTAGCTTTTCGACATTCTGTTTCCTTGGGTTAAGGATTTTGCCTATCAGAGAGAGCTTAAATTCTTAAAGGACATGGGAGTCCTCCTCGTCAATGAGCTTAAACGGTGCATCCTCTGCCTCCCACATGACTCCCTTACCCTTAGTATCTGTCAAAGACAAGTCATAAGTGTCCAAGAGTTGTCGGAATGAAACTGTCTCAAGCCTCTCTGTTTATCTCTGTTTTTGTATTGAAAAAACAGAGATGTGAAACCAGAAGTACGAGTTCAGAGACAAAGGTCTATGAAAGTGTCTTGGATAAGACAAAGGTACTCAGAGACAAAGGTCTACGAAAGTGAAGAAAAACTGAAGCAAAAAAACAGTGACAATGGCCTGGAACTGCTATTGCTTGAGAAGTACGGTATCTCGTCCTCTCTCACGTGGGTAACGGAGGATACCGATGACCACGATCTCCTTAAACAGTAGATCGCCTCCAGATAACCATCATAAGGCTGGGTGATGACATGATTGACAAACAAAACCAGAAGTTAACGACAATGATCGTTATGTATGGCCGCCAATCACCACCAACGTCGAAGAAATCTCCGAGAAGAAATTGCAGAGATCCAGATACACAAATCAACCGACAAGGATCGTATTGTTGTGTTTAATTGATCGAGACCTATAGGAGGAATGATCAGATCTGAAGCCTTTCAAACTTGGTCGCCGTCGCCATCTATCTCCAGAGCGTTAATTAGGGTTTTTATCCACACATATTATCTCAAAGTTATTTTAATTGTTGAGAACCCACTTAAAATATATTAAGGTGATGACTGTTTTTAGAAAACCAAAAACCAAAAATTGTCTGAAGAACCATAAATGATTAGGTAAATGAGCTTTTCCATAATTAGGTAAGATACATATTTGACAAAAATATTCTTTAGTTTTTAAGAACCTATATATTCTAATTAGCCAACGACTTCTTCGGAAAAGTAGCCAACGACTTCTTGCATGGTGTTTACCAATAACTACGTTCATAGTGCATAGTGCATAGCGTATATATATATGTATTCTTTTTTGGTAAAAGTGTATTTTTATACATTACCTATATTGTATAAAACATATGAGGAGAAGAATAAGAGTATGCGCGCAAATTAGGGCGGTGGTATCAAAGTTTCATAAAAAGACATATTAGGGCGGTGGCGTTAATGTATGAGGAGAAGAGATCCGGTGATATTTTTCTTCGTCCTATTAGTAAAAATACATACAGTAAAATCTTTATAAATTAATAATGTTAGACTTTAAAATTTTATTAATTTATAGAGATATTAATTTACAAAAATTTCTTTATTTATTTTTTTTTATTTTAAAATATATTTATTTTAAGATAAGAAAAATATTTGATTTTAATGTATAAATATTAATCATTACTTTTTTAAATTTGACATTTATATTAATTATATTATATTATTTGGTATGTAATATATATTTCATAAAATTTAAATGTGATTTTAGATATATATATTACTAAATCTCATCAAAATTATATTATGTGTTAAGATGATGTAAAAATAATTCCATTGTGAATATAAAACAAACAATATAATAATAGGTTTTTACTTATATAATATATTTATACATAGAAATTCTTAATTTATAATTTTAGTGGGATCATATATTTACATAGAATTTTCTGAAAAATTGTTATCTTATTATTTTATCGATATGTGTCAAATTTTGAACTACCCAAATTGAGATTGGTGAAATTTATTAATTTCTAAAGATTATTAATTTATCAATTATTAATTTATAGTGGTTCTATTGTATAATAATATACGATTAGATTTTATGAATAAAAAAATAGCATTATTTGATTATGGAGAGACTGTGCATGTCTTCATTACGTGGGTTACATCATGGACGTTGCATGGGTCCCCCGCTTCTCTTCTCGGTATGATTGTACAGCGTGGTCCTCTTTTTCATTTCACCCCTCTTTTTTGTTTATTTATTTATTATTTTATCTTTTGTTCTTCCATATTATTAATTTTGTTGTCATTCAAATTTGACAAGATCTATATAGTACAGGTTTATTAATTGTCAAATGTAAATAACATTAAATAGTTTGGAATGGTAAAGATGGATTCTTTCTTGCATTCATCTTATGAATTGAAATCATGTTGGAGAGAATTATCTCACGATGTCTTTGGACACTACACAAGTATGGATGATTGTTTTTGGCACATTTCGTAAGTCCTAAGTCCTATGTGCGAACTTTCTTGTAGATCATGAGTCTCCAAAATATTAGTCTGTATTTGTTTAGGCTTAGGATTTACTTCTGAATAATAGGAAAAATAATAAGTATTTCACTACGAAAAAACATGTTATGTTCCAAAGGACATTAATCCCTTCAATTTTTTATATAGATTTTTGATGAGATACCGACGAATTATATATTTAAGGTTCGTCGGTATTGCGTCGGAAACTTCCAACGAAATACTGAAAAACGCAACGTCGTCAAAATTTTCCATCAAAATTTTTGACACAGCCTGATGAAAATATATCCGTTAGGCGACAATTATCATTAATATTATTAAATTTGTTAGAAATTTTTGATGGATCATTTGACCGGTATAAGCTCGACGAGTTTTTGACGAACATTTTGACGAACATTTTTGACCGTACAGAGTTCCGACAAATTTCTTGACCGTTTAAATATCCGACGTATTTCCGACAAACTTTGAAATATTCTTCAAAACTTGGTCGGAAATTTGTCGGAGTATCGGCAGAAACTTTCCTCTATAAAAATGAGCTCCCAACACCACATTCCCCTCATTCACTCTTTATTCTCTCTTCACTCTCTACAAATCCAAAACAAACAATCATGTGTTATGGAAATCGTTATAGATCGTAGATGATAAACAACTTTTGGATCCAAACTCTAATTTGCTTACGAAGGAATACATGGAAAGTATTGGCAAATTCATGAGGCTTGTTCAACAAAAACCGGAAGCAAATACTGGTATGTTAAGATGTTCATATTCTCCCACCAATAATAATAAGGTTATAAAGAAATGAGATATTTGGACTCATTTATATATTAGAGTGTTTACACAGAGTTACAAAGCTTGGTATTTTTATGGGAAAACTGATTATGAATATGGTAGTGCTAGCGTACCTTGGCATGTGGTTTGGTTAGAAGAATCAAGAATGGATGTAGATTATGGTGTAGGTACTGAAAATATGGTAAATCATCATTATAGAGGTGAAGAGACCAATACAGAATCTAGGAGATTCTTTGACATGTAGGATGCAGAAAAACAACATTTGTACAAAGGTTGTAATGATAATCATTCACTTTTATCATCTATAATTAGATTGATGGGTATTAATACATATTATAATTTGGCTGAAGAATGTGTGGATGCGATTGCTAATTTTGTTAGAGGTGTTCTACCAAATGATAATCTTGCACCGAGTTCATACTACGAGGTTCAGAAACTAGAAGTGGGTCTTGGTTTATCGTATCACACTACAAGGAAAAGTGGTATTGATAGCACATTATGATAGCTTTGTTTTCTGAACTGCTATAATAAATCAAAAAGAAAAATGGAATTAGATTAATAGCAGTTTTTTAATGCTGTCGTGTAAAATTAGTAGGCGGGAAGATAAAATCGCTAATACCGTCAATATTTAGGTATAAAGTAGACACGCGCCAAAGCATAATTTTCTATCTGTTTTGGATAGCACATTTAGATAGCATTGTTTTGAGAACTGCTATTAAAAATCAATTTCTAATCTTTAAAATCTTTAACCCTAAACATGTTTAAACCCTAATCTCTAAACTCTAAACATAAACCTTAAAACTATAATCTTTTCATACGATAATCAGAAATCACATACTTAAACTCAAAGTTATTCCTTTTAATCTTAATCTTTAATTTCCAAAACACAAACCTTAAATATTTAGTAACCCTCTATACCCTAAACTTTATACATAAACCTTATACTCCAAATTATAAATATAACCACTAACATATTGTATTCAACACTCTTACATTATCATACTTTAGCTCTAAAGCCTAAATTGAAATTCAAAAAAAATCAGTCATTTTCAAAATTTAATCTCAAAATCTTAAAACCAACCCTTAACATTACACTTTAAACCCTTAACTCTACATACAATCATAATCTAAATGCTAATATAATAGTTTCATCTCTAAACTCCAAACCTTCAAATAACTATCAATTTTTTTTTTTTTTTAAAAAAGTCAAATCTTACCCTAACTCTATAGTATAAACCTAAACACTAAAATTATACTTTCAAACTTAAACTCTAAACTCTAAGTTCATAACTCCGAAACATGAATTTTCTATTCTAAACTCTATATTCTATACTATAAACATAAACTTAAAAATTCTAAATTTATGTTTTTAAAATTTCAATCTCAAACATTAGTTCTACATTAACTAAATTTATTAGTTTTCCTAAGCTATTAACTAAAATTACAATATTAATCTGGTAAACCTACAAAAAATACTTATAAATGAATATCTTGATAACCACCCACTTTAAAATTGAAAGGCCAATGATTTGCAATGGCGTGGATCACCATCATGTAACTATCACCATTAGATCAACAAAATCTAACGGACAAATTTTTTTAGCTTTTTCTATTTTTATTTTTATTTTTTATTGTTTCCCTTCTCCCTACGACATCTTCACTCTTCCTCTGTCGCCTCCTCTCATCCTCACGAGTTCTTTGTCTGCTCCTCTTCTCCTCTCTCATCTTTCTCGATTCTGTTCCTCGTCTTCTCTTATCCACTAATGAAAAATTCACAGACATAGCAAGCATCAATATCCATCTGTGAGATTCAAATCTGTTTGTAAATTTATTAATGTTGTTTTTCAGATCTGAGAAAGTGGAGTAACGAACGACGGTGTGACGAACTTGATGAACCGGAAGTGGTGGCATCACAAATCTGGCTTGATGAACCGGAGGTGGTGACGGACTCGTAACGAGTGGTGCATCTTCTTCATCTCGTAAAGAAGAGGAGAGAAGATGAAGAACAGACCGAGACAGAGAGAAGAGGACGATGCAGAGGAATAAGCAACAACAGTGCAGCTTCTCCTCAGCATCTCGCACCCCCACGAAGGCAGAGGTGGTGGCGGCTATGAGGCAGAGGTGGTGGCGGCTATGCGGCAGAGGAGACAGAATGGAGGAGTTAGGAGGCGGAGGAGTTAGGGTTTTTTTTTTTGTTTTTTTTTAAGTTTTTGTTTCTAAACCGGGTTTATAATTAAACCGGTTTAATTTGTAAACCAAATTATTTGTAAACCAGTTTTAATTTATAAAAAATATTTTATTTTTAATTATGAACCACTTTCGATTAAATTTTTAATTATTTTATTTTTAATTATTTTTATTTTCAACTAATAATAGCAAAGTGTAAAAACAGTTATCTTAATGTTATACTACAACAGCTTTTACAAAATTGCTATAATATGAGGGAGATTTAAGATAGCTGGGGCAGACATAGCGTTTTCAATAATGCTAACAAAAGCATATGATAGATGTTTCCTTCCGCTAAGAATGAATATTTTTCTTGTAGTGTCAGATGATATATGCATGCATCGATAACAATATCAACTATTGGAGAGCGGATGAGAACCGGGATAGATGTAAATTTTGTGAGAAACCTCGTTATTAGGATACAAGAGGAAGAGTTCTGGTGCTATTCAAAAGGATTTGGTATTTGTTTTTGACGGAAAGAGTGAAGAGGTTATATCAATCTGAACGCACAACCCAACCAATAAAATGACATGCAAAGCACTTTACAGATGGTTAAATTAGACATCCTCAGATGCAAAAGCTTGAGAACGTTTCCAACATATCTGAGAACGTTATCTTTTGGGGAGAAGAAATGTATATCTTTGATTATGTATTGATTGTTTCAGCCTATTTGGAAAGCATGAAAAAAATATCTCTATGGCCAGTGACTGTCACACTGTACAATTTACCGCCCAATGTGTATGCGAAGAGAATTTTTGTTTCTCTCCATTCTCTTCCCCAGGCCAAAGCATCCTAAAAGATAACTTGATGTGTTTTTTCATCCACTGATATATGAGTTGCAACAACTATGGGTGCATGGTGCTGAGATATATGATGTTTTGTGCAAAGAAAACTTTTAGATGCAGGCAGTAGTTATGTAGATAATAAGCGACTTTCAAGCATATATATGTTATCTGGATGGAAAATATATGGAAGGTTATCATGTCCATATTTTCAAGATAACATAGATGCTTTCCAACTAAAGCATGGAAGGAAAACATGTTGGTTTGACTATCACAGAAGATTTTTATCACCGATCATTCATACTGTAGAAGCAAGACTTTGTTTACAAAGAAAAAAAGTGTTTGATAATCGACCAGAAGAAATTAGTAGAAAATAGTTTTTGGAAAAATTTAAGGGATTTTGGTGAAGAAAGGACACTAGACGTGGGTGGATATGAAAATCTTCAAATCGAAATGTTGTTGGACAACTGCACAAATTGCACAAAAGAGTATTTTCTGGGATCTTCTATACTAGAAGAATCATCTGTTGCGGTATAATATAGATGTCATGCATATTGAGAAGAACTTCTTCGAAAGTCTGATGAACACAATCCTTAAAATCCAAGGTAAAACGAAGGATAATTTGAAATCAAGACTGGATTTAGTCGATATTTGTGCTCGTTCTGAACTTCACATTAATGAGAACAGTGTGGTTCCTTTCCAATATACCAGCTGGATGCAGCTGCAAAAGAGGATTATTTGATTGGATTACAGATAAAGTGACATTTCTAGACGGTTATGCGTCAAATTTTTGTAACAGCGTTGACAAAAATGAAGAAAAATTTACTGGCTGGAAGAGTCATGATTGTCATGTAATGATGCAAAACCTCCATTATTTTTGTTTTTCTGGACTGCTGCCACGTAATGTTCATGAAGCAATTACAGATATTTTATATTTTAACATTTTGAATTGGTAGTCATATTAATTTATATGCTTTATAGGTACTTATGGAATTTGTTTTTTTTTTTTATATGTATGCAGGGATAAGCGCTTTCTTTCGAGATTTATGCACTAGATCAGTCACCACATATGATATTAGTAAATTGAGGCTAACATACCCATGAGCATGTGCAACTTCGAGAAAATATTTCCTACATCATTTTTTATTTAATGAAACATTTTACTATTCATCTCGCAAGAGAATTGGAATTTGGTGGTCATGTGCAGTACTAATGGATGTAGCTTTTTTTGCGTTATATGCATCATCTAAAGAAGAAGGTAAAAAATTTAAGCAAGGTGAAAGGATCTATAGTCGCACATGTGATCGGAGAAGAAAATGCAAACTTTTCTGAAAACTACTTTCCATCAGAAGTGCAGACAAAAAACTGGAGACCTTCTCGGTATAATGATGGAGGGCAAATGGTAATGTATTATGGTACCATCCAAAACATCTTCAGGGAAATTGGACGAGTTAGTGGTAAACCAAAGAAGCAAAAAGTTACTAAGAGGGAGCAGGCTTATTTGCATATATACTTGCTCACCAAATGTGAAGATGTTCTACAATATGAGAGGTAAATATTTTTATTTCATTTAATATGTCAGATTGTTCATTAAGTATTATTTTAGATTAATTAATGACATTAATTTTGTATAGTATCTATATGGTAGAGCTGTGGTTCACTTACAGACACGCCACAGAAAAGGAGCTTGAAAAACTCAGACATAAAGGATTTTCCGTTTGGCTTCTTAACTATGTGAGCGTGTACAAAAAAAAGTTATATATTTAATGAAATAATTTATCACTGCTAAAAGAAATAACATGTTTTATTTATAGGTGACTGAAGGTTTGGTTAGAGGTAAAGTGTTTGATGATTGGATACTCGAATTTGTTCGGGGACCAAACTATGTGGTCAAATCATATTCAAAATATACATCTCGAGGATATGCATTCTCAAGGGAAGGTCATTCTAAGAAAACTTATGATGCTGGTTTTCGTCTTCATCTAGTGACGATGTGTACTATGGTAACATACAAGATAATTTGGAGAATCAGTATCCCGATGTGGTTGAATTGCGATGTACTGTATTCTATTGTGATTTGTATGACAACACTCCAGATCGAGGGGTGAAAACTGACTTATTTGGTGTTACATCGGTTCTTCGTGAAGGAAACTTCAATATTATGATCCTTTCATTCTTGCTTCTCATGCTGACCAGGTTGTCAATTTATTCATATTAATGGTTCAACAATCTGTATTTTTTTTTTTCATTTTACATATTACTAATACCTACAATTTTATTTATAGTTTTGCTAAATCAGTTACTCATGGGTTACGTACATAGACAATCCTTGGATCATTGTAATTTCAATCAACCCAAGAGAACGGGTACATGGAAGTTCTGATAATGACCCATTACAACCAAACTCACCAGCAACGTGAGCCCAGTTGAAGATTTAGAAGATGTTGAGCTCGTTGTATATTTTACCCAGTTTGAAGATGATGTTGTTGTGCACTTGAAGTAAGAGACTGAAGTTGGAGAGTTTGACGAATATTCTTAAGATACTACATATTCTTAGTAGATGTTCATAATCATATATGTTCTTGGACTTGTTATTATAAGTTACTGGAGTTCTTTTTATAAGTTATTGGAGTTCATTTATAAATTATTGAAGTATTTTTGGTAAGTTATTGGAGTTCTTTTCTAGTTATTGGAGTATTTTTATAAATTTCTGGAGTTTTGTTTTATAAATTATTGAAGTTTTTGTATAAGTTATTAGAGTACTTTACCATTTTAAAATCATATAAATGGATATTATTCAGAATTTTGTAAGGATTTTCCGACAAAATTCCGATGAAAAATATAAATTTTAAGGTTTCGATAGGTATTTAAACTTCGTCGGAAATCCCCCGGAATAATCCAAAGTAAGTCAGAAGCTTGTCGGAGTTTTGTTGGAATGTTCCGTTTGATTTCCGACAAAACATATTTTAGATTTGCACAATAAATATATATGTAAATTTGGATACTTAAAATATTCAAATAACACTTATATAAGTGTATAATACGAAATTAGTTCACAAACGTTCAAGTTTTTCTTTGCGTATACATATCAATGTATTAGTAACATATTGCATCAACACGTATATACATATACAAACATACTACGACAATCTAAGATTACATTTTAATTTTGTATAATATTGAGTTAAACAGTTAATTTTTAAGTTAAACCTCTTATAAATAATTTACATACTACCAAAGATCTGTATTTGATCATTAGATTGATGTTTCTTAATCCCACACGTAAATTCATTGGAAATCTGTTGAATTTTTTGATGAAATTCCGAGGAACCATATCTCGACAAATCAAAATACATGCAAAGCATATCCTAAAATTTTCCGAATACGGTCAAAAATTTCTGACAGATTTCCAACAAATATAGTATATTCTATATGCCTCGTAAATTGATCTTTCCACTATCAAGAAAATTCTACCAATTTTCTATTAATCTAGCAATTTCATCGGTAATCAATTGGAAATTTTCACTTCCCAGGAAGAGGAACCGCCAAAAAATTTTTACGTCCGCGTAAATTTAAACCAATGGAATTTCGATTAAACCTTATCCGTCGATTTTTTTTTAATACAATAGCCATCCCTTTTTGTTCTTCCTCATTTTCCTCTCTCTCTAAAATTCTCTCTGATTCTCCCTATCTCTTTGCCGGCAATTCTCAGGACTCTCCACTCTCCCAAATCTCTTCCACAATCATTTAAGTCTTCTAAACTTGATTTATTTAGGGTTTTGATGTTATATTTGTAGATTTTAGGTTTTGAGTGTAAATATTTAGGATAAAATGGATAGTTTTAGGAATTATATTTGACTGTAGTTTATTTTTTTTAGAAAAGTTTTTTTGTTTTGTTTTTGTTAACAACAACTAAACTATGAAGGAAAACCACCGGTTCGGAGAACCAAACCGGAGGCATGGAATCAACATAAAACACAGGTAACGGGGAACGCCGAGCACCTCGTGCAAGCTCGTCCGACACTAGATTAGTTGCCCTTGGATTATGTTGAATCTTGAAGGTAGAAAAGAAAGTATTACTGCGTTGAAATTCCTCCAAATGTGTAGCAAAAGAGGGCTATTTGTCAGGTGAGGACACCATCTTCGCCAGTTAAGGGTCTTCATGCACTCCATAGCATAGCAAAGCTTCATATTCCGCGTGTAAAGCTGATAAGATTCTT